ATGATAGTAAGGATTCTATTATCATCATCATTAGCTATATTATTATTATTATTAATTTAGATTATAAATATGAAAGCCACAATTTATATATATACTCCCTCTATCAATTTCATTTTATTATAAAATAATGATAAATTTTAGTGATACAAAATAAACTTATTTTATTCCTGTAACAAGTTTTTAAATGAAAACGTGACAGTGACCTTCATGCCTTTTACTCACACAACGACATCACTCAGGTCAAGACAATAGTCTATTTTATTAATTCAAAAAAATATAAATAGGATGGCCATCCCCACAATTTTTGTATTGTTTTTTTCATAGAGAAATTCTTCTCAGCGTTGAAACTCAACTTTCTACGACGTCCCTGTCCATCTTCAAGCAATCAAGTTTACAGATGGTGAGCACCATGAAATCATTTATCATTATACAACGTTATACAAGATGGTCAAAAATAAATATACCACTGCACCGAGTGTTTCATAGCATTATAATAATAAAAAAATACATGATTCAATCATTTACATATAACAGGAGAGACAGAATTTTAACCCACGCAATTGTTGATTGACCAATCAAAATCATGAATTTGATACCGTAAAAATAAACATTAATATAAAACATTGATTCAACTTGTAGTTAGCAAATGGTTCGAATTTAAGAAGTTGGAAGCGACCATTTGAAATAGTCTAGCAAATTAAACCGTACTACTCGAAAATGTATTTAAAGGGTTGGTTTTCGACTTGGTTGAAGAATAACTCTTCCTAATTCTTCTCTTGACCATATCTCTTGACATAATCAAAATAACACTAATATAACAAATGTTGAAATGATTGCAAACGCGACCAATTTAAGATATACGATCAAGACAAAACATGAACGATGTATGAAAAAATCAAACAAATTTATTTAACAAAACAACGGAATAAAACGTTTTTGAACCTTGGTCTTGTGACCAGAAAATAACACAAACATGTTGTGTGATGAGCCTTTGACGATCTGAGGTAAAGGTTCCAAGACAAAGGCCATCAGTTTTTGGTCATTTTGAACAGTCCAAACATCTGAGAAAGATGAAGACCTAACGATGGACAGTGGTCAACATCACCCAAAAACATCTAAAGCGAAACACAATTTCCTTTTCAGTCAAGTATCTGTTTTGCTCAACCCTGATGTTTTTGAACCAAAACAGATAAGTTTTTCAGTTCACAAATCATGATAAACAGATAGCAATTGGGTTTCGCACAATACGGTGATGTAAAAATAACAACCATTTATCATTTTTTTGGGAAACGAAAATATTTCTGTTCAAATTTCAATTTCATTAATTAACAAATTTCAAATCAATTTGCAAATCATTTCAAGCCAGCATAGCAAAAAAAAAAAATGACTCATCACAAAGTTTTACCCTTTGATTTTGATCTCTTCCTTCCTCAAAAATTCAGTTTAATAAAGTTGAGAAACAGGATGTTTAGAAGTTACAGTCACAGTTACAGTAACTGTAACTGTAACTTCTTTACAACGAAACATTTCCTGTGCAACCAAACATTTCAAAATTGGGTAAAGCCATTAGATTAGGGAAACATACAAAAAAAGGGGAAATATTACACAAAATATAAAAAATCTACACGGTCAACATCACCCAAAAACATCTAAAGCGAAACACAATTTCCTTTTCAGTCAAGTATCTGTTTCGCTCAACCCTGACGTTTTTGAACCAAAACAGATAAGTTTTTCAGTTCACAAATCATGATAAACAGATAGCAATTGGGTTTCGCACAATACGGTGATGTAAAAATAACAACCATTTATCATTTTTTTGGGAAACGAAAATATTTCTGTTCAAATTTCAATTTCATTAATTAACAAATTTCAAATCAATTTGCAAATCATTTCAAGCCAGCATAGCAAAAAAAAAAAATGACTCATCACAAAGTTTTACCCTTTGATTTTGATCTCTTCCTTCCTCAAAAATTCAGTTTAATAAAGTTGAGAAACAGGATGTTTAGAAGTTACAGTCACAGTTACAGTAACTGTAACTGTAACTTCTTTACAACGAAACATTTCCTGTGCAACCAAACATTTCAAAATTGGGTAAAGTCATTAGATTAGGGAAACATACAAAAAAAGGGGAAATATTACACAAAATATAAAAAATCTACAGAAAATATCACAAACATGTTGTGTGACGAGCCTTTGACGATCTGAGGTAAAGGTTCCAAGACAAAGGCCATCAGTTTTTGGTCATTTTGAACGGTCCAAACGTCTGAGCAAGACGAAGACCTAACGATGGACAGCAGTCAACATCACCCAAAAACATCTAAAGTGAAACACAATTTCCTTTTCAGTCAAGTATCTGTTTCGCTCAACCCTGACGTTTTTGAACCAAAACAGATAAGTTTTTCAGTTCACAAATCATGATAAACAGATAGCAATTGGGTTTCGCACAATACGGTGATGTAAAAATAACAACCATTTATCATTTTTTTGGGAAACGAAAATATTTCTGTTCAAATTTCAATTTCATTAATTAACAAATTTCAAATCAATTTGCAAATCATTTCAAGCCAGCATAGCAAAAAAAAAAAATGACTCATCACAAAGTTTTACCCTTTGATTTTGATCTCTTCCTTCCTCAAAAATTCAGTTTAATAAAGTTGAGAAACAGGATGTTTAGAAGTTACAGTCACAGTTACAGTAACTGTAACTGTAACTTCTTTACAACGAAACATTTCCTGTGCAACCAAACATTTCAAAATTGGGTAAAGCCATTAGATTAGGGAAACATACAAAAAAAGGGGAAATATTACACAAAATATAAAAAATCTACATGAAAATTGCAACATTTAGTAAGACACCATAACATGGCAACCTTTTCTTCTTTTATATATATATGTTAAATAATTGGCTTGTGGCACTGATGTGCCACAAGCCAATCAAAGAATGCCATTCTGATTTTTCCATTATTGCATGCGGAGCATGCAATAACTTTAATTTATTATGAACATAAAAAAATTCAAATTTATTAAATTTATATATTCATCCATTAATTATAGATGTAAGAAAATTCAAATTTATTATTTATATATATCCATTAATTATAGATGTAAGAAAATTCAAATTTATTATACATACATTCACCCATTAATTATAGATGTAAGAAAATTCAAATTTATTATATACTGTATATATATCCATTAATTATAGATGTAAAAAAATTCAAATTTATTATACATACATTCATCCATTAATTATAGATGTAAGAAAATTCAAATTTATTATATATATATTCATCCATTAATTCTATTTACATAGATAAACTCGATAAGTCAGACACAAATGGCTGGACATGGTGTCCGACTTATCAAAATATGCAATTTTACAAAAAAAAAAAAAAAAAAAAAATAAGAAAATTGTTGTTTAAATCATATTTATTTA